ATATATATGTATATTATATATATGTATGTATATATATATATATATATATAAAATATAGATGTATATTCATATATATATAATCCGCAATTATTATGGATACCATTCACTACTTAAAACTGTGCTCTCTATGTTGTTGCTATTGTTTTATTAATTCTCCACGAAATTGTATTTTATAACAGGGTATCGCGCACACGTACAGGAAGGTCCGATTGCAAGGTATGTTATATCACACCCTTAGAAAACTAAAAATCACATGTATAGCGGTCTAGTCATGGCGTGCTGCCAGAATATCGCGAGTGCGCTTGTGCGAGGGAGTGTACCAGTCATGTGTATGTTTGTACCAGCCATGTGCATGTTTGTACCAGCCATGTGTATGTTTGTACCAGCCATGTGTATGTTTGTACCAGCCATGTGTATGTTTGTACCAGCCATGTGTATGTTTGTACCAGCCATGTGTATGTTTGTACCAGCCATTTGTATGTTTGTACCAGCCATGTGTATGTTTGTACCAGCCATGCGTCTGTTTGTACCAGCCATGTGTATGTTTGTACCAGCCATGTGTATGTTTGTACCAGCCATGTGTATGTTTGTACCAGCCAGTTGTATGTTACATGCCAAATGCATGACGCATACAAAGCTCACAGTGCAGAAGGACTCGTTCACAATTATCAGCTGATGCCTGTGCTGGATATCTTTGATGCTTGCGCTCCTGACAAAGCGATTGATTTGCCTTCTGCAGAAGTCGTACTTTTGTTACCACTTACTGCAGCTTTGCTATACAACACTCCTCCCTACGTGTAGCTTTGCTATACGCACTCTTGCCTAAGTGTAGCTTTGCTATGCAACGCTCGTTTCTTAGTATAGTGCGTGTTGTTAGGATGTGTCTGGTGGTTGAAATGAACCGTTGGAGCTGCGTGCACACCAGTGTCGCTGTCTGTAGGATACACAGATGGTTCTGTAGGCGTTTGATTTTTTTCTCCAGTTTATGTGTTTTCACTCTCATCGCTTCAAAAAAGTTGCCAGTGTATGGTGTAGTAGTGGTACACTCCCTCTGTTCTTGAATACAAAAGCACAGTCTTATTTATGTCACTAACCTGGGACCTAATGCGACTGGACAATAACAGACAAGTCCTGAACCCTACACCCTAAACCCTAAACCTTGAACCTTGACCCTCGGCAGATGCGAAGATGAACAAAAAGTTCGACGACCCATCGAACCATTGGGATTTTATCTCCAAGGACCACCTGCACCACAAAACACTCAACATCATGCCAGACCATGATCTCATTGCCATGATTGACAGCCAGGCTGGTTTGGTGCAACAGATGCGTTGCATGCACGAGGTACGTACCCACATATTCTGTGTATATGTGTATATATGTATATGTGTATATATGTCTATGTGGCGGTTACAATGCATACATCTCACGTGTTGCAGCATGCTTATCAGATGTCACACTCAACATCATGCCAGACCATTGATCTCATGGCCCTGATTATCAGTCCGGCTTGTTTGGTGCAGCAGACGCTATACCTGCACGAGCTTCCTAGTTACACCAGCTGTTTTATGTATATGTATGTCCTGGCTGTAGAGGTCTAATGTAATTGTCTTAATACCCACCCTCTCTCTCCCTTCTCTACTGCCCCTCTCCAATTCTCGGTGCACCTGGTCTCCAATTCTCGGTGCACCTGGATCACAAAATGGGCCTGTCCTGCCCTGCAGTTAGTAGACTTACGCCCAGTCCGTCTCTCTCATTCCACATTAATCCTTACCATCCGCTCTCCTGTATCCACTACCTCCTGCCCAGTCTCCCGCATGCCATTCCCTGGAGTTGACCATGTGCGAACTCCTCACTCAGTGTGGCGACCCCCGTCACCGGTTCAGTGGCTGTAGCGTCAAACTCGAACCCGCACGCCTGGTACAGGCACTTCTGGACTTCATACGGCCCGTTCTGTTGCCCATGACCTGCTTGTTGGTGATGCAGATGGCGCTGGTGTGGCTCTTGCGGTTTACGTATATCCGCATGAAAGAACAGGGCGCAGACGGACTCGATTTTGGATACGGCCAATCCCGATAAAATGCGTGTGCACTGTCCAAATGTGCCATATGGCGTTCAAGACATTTGATACTTTGATGTGTAACCCCTTTAATTCGTCAGTCCTGATTTGTCGGCCTGAATTGTCAGTCCATTTAATGACCTGTCTCCAAGTCTGGAATGCCGAGGCAAACTAGAGCACAAGTTCACGCATAGTTTCAATTCAAGTGTCTGGCATTCCACTCGCCCAAGCCAAAAGTCGCTCAGTAGGTAAACCATTGTGTATGCCACTGATGCCTCGATTCTAATTACCCGCCTTATTCTTATCTTCACTACCCTTCTATTTCTGTCATATCCATCTGCGCAACTGTATATGCCCAACTATTGGTGCCCTGACATCTGGGGCCAGGAATATCATTTTTATACTATCCCCTGTCGCGTGGGTGTGGGTCAGTTATGTATTCGTAGTAAAATTGAGTCAGTGTCTGTGTCTGTTCCTGTCTTGCAGCCCCTAACTTCTCGTGTGTTAACCTCTCGTCCGCCTGCGCTTTTCGTTTCGCTCTGTCAGTCATTGGTCTGCTGGGTTTGTTCGCCTGTCGAAGGTTCGTTCCTTCGCATTGTCACTGGAGGTTTATAGCTAGATCCGTTTCTCTCTGCTGCCGATATATCAATCGTATGTCTGTCCTGTCTGACACTCTGTCCACCCACACTCGCCCGCGAAGTTCTGTACTGTCACTGCCCCCAATGTCTCATCTGCACCCGGTCACCTTACAGCCTCGTCTGCTGGAGTCTCAGCCTGCCTAATGCTTCGATTTCCCTCCTTGCCCGTTCCTGCTACATAGGCTTTAGGCTTAGGCTTTAAGCTGTATGGTTTTAGGGTTAAAATTTAGAGTTTTAGGGTTCTCAGCTTTAGTCTTCTCTACTATAATACAATCAAATTATAAAACCCTAAACCCTAAAACCCCCTAAATCTTACCGTCCACCCGCTTCCCGTCACGTACACGACTCGCTCCTGCCTCACTGTATACGCTCTCAGTCGTGATATCCACTGTCTAATTCTCCGAACTACTTGCCCCGCGCATCAGACTCTCTAGCTGTCTGACGCTGCATCAATCAACGGTGGCCATAGATCATAGCGTTTAGTTTTGCCCCTACGCTGCGCCGCTTTTTCATCCCATAAAAATAAGTTCGTGTGTTACGAGTCGCGGCTTCTGATCGGTCGTCGTCCTCGTTGAACCTATTGTGCAACACTTCGCGTTGCTATGGTAACATCTCCCTGTATCCGATTTCCCACTTCCCTGCTCTCCACATTTGCCCTATTGCCAGTTATTCGTATCCCTGTCAACTGTCAATCCCCCCTCGCACGAGCAACCCGACCTCTCCTAGGCCCCGTTTCCTTTCTGTTTGGTCCCTGGTATTCTCAGTACGGTCACAACCACGCTATTCGTAGATGGCGATGAACCCCCTTGTTTATATATATGTCTCTCAGCCTTCTTCCCCTCTCCCGCAATTAATCTGATGAGTCCCCGAACCCGGCACAGACCCACTCTCAGGCGACACATCGACCCAACTGTATAGCAGAACACGCATTTATCCTTCCAGCCGCCAGACCACACGTCCCTCTGCCCGCTGGCATGTCTTTCACGCATATGTTGCCAGGAAGATGTTGGGATATGGCACGTAGCAGAGCATTCTCTGCTATCTCGCATATTAATAGAATGAGTACGACGATCACCAGATAGAACCAACACCGGCGGGGGTACGCTGCCCTGTAGTTGCACGGTGGGCCGAGTCAGTCACGTTGGTTGCAGTCGCCGAAGGCCAGAACAGTCTATGCATCTCTGCGAGGTCAAGGAGCCAGTCAACGCCATACCCAGGTGGCACACCCGCCTATCTGCATCGCAGGATACGCCCTTACCCGTCTAGCAGGCAAGCGCAAATAATGTCCCGCTTCTCGGTGGCGTGCGTGCACTTTACGCTTTATGTTTCCAGAACGACGCTGGGCTATAATACTCCGCGGCGCACTCGGTCGTGACGTATTTGATGACGTGTCTCTTTAACTATCTGGAGAAAACGATTTACCCACAAGACTTCTTGCGTTTGTACTTACCATGGTTGCATTGGGTTTAGATAGTGAAGTCATAGCTGCGTTTACCACCGTAGTGCCGCAAGGCCCTTATTCAGACCCTGCAGCGCCGCAATTACTACCGCAGGCGCTGTGGGTGGCTTTGGGACCAAGGCCGACATCAGCACTGCCAATGCAGTGTGTGTGCGTGTGGTAGAACCATCGGCCGGTGAGATAGATGGCCTTCAACGGGTGGGTTGCGTTCTGTTTTGCTCACAATACGTGCCAGTAGCGGTAACGCTAGCGGGTCAACTCTTCCCTTAAGCCGTTTGCTTCCCACCCGCATCCACTTGCACTTGCACTTGCACTTGCGATTTCTCACCCACATCTGGGCGCTTGGCGGATGGCACACACTCGCCACAGAACCATAGATCCTCCGACGCCAGCAACTGCGGCTGAGGCGGTGTGAGACAGAAGGCGTGCGTGCCTTGATCGCAGGCGTCGCATAACAGCATCTGGCCCTCATCTCCGCCCGTGCCACACACAGTGCACACCTTGCAGTCGTTGCAGTACCACAGTGCGCCGTCGCGGTGCAGAGCGCGGGCGAGCGACTCGGTGAACCCGTGGCAGCAGATGTTGTGCGAGGGTCTTGGGCACTCAGCCGTAGCACACCGCAACAGCCGCTTAGGGCACAACGGATCCACCTCGCAACTACACGCCACCGGTCCGGTTACCACGGATTCCTGCTCTATGACGGGTTGTGTATCCCACATGTCCGGTTTTGTTCCCCCACTGTCAGATATGGGTTCGGTGTTAACCTTATTTGTGAGTCTCATATGGAACTCGTCGAGGTGTGTACGTCTCCCATTCTCATCTGCAAACGTACTGCGGCAACCTGGCTCGGAACACAATAGGCCTGGGGCCTGGGGTGATGCAGCTCTCGGCCCATCTACTGTCGTCGGTACCGGTTTCGTATGTCGCGCATTTGTGAATACCTTCCGTGGATTACCTACGCCCGGCTGTCCAAATCCGATTACTTTCGGTGCACCAGAGGTGTGTGCGGGTGTTGTCTTGTGAGTAATTGTACTGTGCGCGACTGTTGGGGAGAGGTTTTGCGCTGAGTGCGTATTAGTTTGTCTTGTAGCGCACTTTCCGCATGGGGACTTGTGATTGCCCCATATCCCTTGCACGCCTGCGCGGTTGGTACACACCAGTCTGTGCCCCGCTCTCCAGTCCTGGGTCTATATCAACAAATTGTGAGAGAGGAGAGATCACATTTGGATTGGAAGTTTGACTAGTTTTGTATTTGAACTGATAGACCGCATTCTGATGGGGAAGCACTGGTTAACATTCAATCGGAGATGACGATTAAATATCGTGAAAGAAGGGAAACTGATATCCTCACGTCCGCTACTTCCGTAACACTCCATAGAATTAGATACAACTACCTTGATCCGTGATATATGAATACTTCACCAATGCATCTCCAGCCAACACATTGAATGCAGGCACATAGAACTAGAAGAATCATATACTAAGCCTTTGCGAACATCGTATATAGTATATATCACGAGAACTGAGAATTATCGCATCCAGCATGCCTAGACGTGGCATTGATTGTAAGAAATACAGTACATGTTTCCACGTAATACAACCGTAGACAAAGTACCGTTGATAAGTCTAATGCTCCATGGGAGCCCCATAGCAACCGACTGCACGCATCAACAAAGCACTGCCCACGATCACTGCACTCCAGGTCCTTCCCATGACACGCCACCAAATATGTAAACAACCCCCACATCATAAACTTGAACTGCGCCAAAGCGAACACACACTGCTGCAAGCCCTAGACATCGATAACTGCTTCACTCCACATACCTGACATGCTCGCCTACAGAAACGCCGCGCTCTGCACTTGCACAACCAACGACTGGCCCGTGCACACACGACACACACTGCGACATCTTTACCTGCACCAGTTACCATAGTAACCGATGCGCTATCGTCAGTGAACATCCCAGTCCTTGCAACGAGTGTAGTCTTATTAACAACGGCTTTCTCGACCAATCCGGTACTTGGGGCCGTATCTCTAGCACGCGCGGGTTGTGCTGATATTATTCTGGGACCAGTAATGTATGGCTCGCCTCTATTATGAGCCTTTGTTGCACCCGTGGTCCGGACAATTGCCCGAGGCGTATCTCTCTGTGACACTATCTCGTTCGCACCTCGGCCAGAGGCACCCGCAATCGGCCCTGCTTGGTCGCTGATAGCACCCGAGGCGGTCCCAGACGTCGGTTGTGCGTGAACAGTCTGAACAGTCTGGCTTGGTTCTCTGGCACTGATTATACGATCGTGTTTACCCGCAGAAGATAGGTGACCTGGTTCAATAGCGGTGTGGTGGGGAACGTCGCTCTTGCCCGTGGTATATGGGTGGCGATACGTTTCGGCTTCTGCATCTAACTCGTCATCGCGGCGAAAGGTGCAGACGTCTGCGTGGCACAAGTTGCTCCAGTCTGTATTCTGCATTGTGCGACGGTTAGAGCTTTGGTCAGATGTTTTGTCGGATCGCATAGTATCTGCCACTTACCACTTACATGACCGTTATGAGATACAATCCTGTACCCTACGAGAGTCTGTCCGAATAAAGCTGTGCTAATATATGATACCGTATATAGAAATAAACTAACACTAAACAGTTGACTCTATGGGATTTGACAGAGTGTGGGTTTGGATCCGCAAACTTGCCAGTACGCACAAAAGCGAGTTAACAACACTCCACACAATGATATCAAGAAAGATGTTGCAGCACTCGCACCACAAATCCTGTAAAAGGATGTTTACAATAGGGTGTGTCAAATAACTAGCAGGTTGCAATCACTGAAAACAAATCGTCAAAATCTCAGAATGCATAGCACCCGTATACTGTCCCTGTCCCTTCGAAGACCATAGCCACCAATACATCATATACTTGCACCATACTGTGTGTGTACAATTATGAGCGCCATGCATATATCAAGTATACATACATGCGTATATCAAGTACATATATATGTATATATCAAGTACACATACATGTGTATATCATGTACATATACATGCATATATCAAGTACATATACATGCATACATTTATCAACAAATAAACTACAAAAACCTCCTTCCCCAATTGTCTACCTGGCAACTCCTGGAACAATACGTGCGGCCAAGGCAGGCGCACATCCCCGTGCCTGGTGCACTGCACACGTGGCATACATGCACCATATTGCCAGTCTGTTCCATACTTGCGTCTCAACGAGAAGTCGAATCCCAGCACAAGACAATCAGCGAATAACTTCTGTTAATTCCAAGATCACGAATAATGAATAATATTTTAATACAATAGAATAGTGTAACATGCGGTCCCTTATCTTAATCGCGCATATGGGCATGTACTATAACCTGTGAACAGAACCGCCGCTGGTACAGTGCTATTTGATATTTTTAATCACACAGTATATTTAATAACCACACAACATATAA